AAAGGCAACATCAAAGGGTCATCGAGGGTTGTCTAATGCTTGATTTTAAATCGTCATACAAACCCTAATTACTAGCAATAATAAGGAAAGCGATAAATTTCAGAAATTAAATATCCTACGCTATTATAACGCTTTAGGGGATGGGGGATACAAATTTACAAATGGGGATGACAAGTAAAAATAAACCCTAGTTACTATTACAAGGCTTTGACGATTACATAAGTTGTAGGAAAATGTACAAAAATGTAAAGATGAATAAAAAAGATTTCTTTTTAGGGTTTTTTGATAGAAAAGTTTTTCTAGTTAATTTAATTACAAAAGGAGTTAATTAGTTAAAAATAAAATCTAAGTCTAATGATTTCAATTATTTTAGAAAATAACTTGAATGTTTTATCTAGAAAAAGTTTTTGTATAGTGTTAGGCCATCTCTAAGAAATGAAATATGTCCAAAGTAACCTTAATGATCTAAAACTACAACAAAATCTCAAAATTAGGAATTTTAATGCTTGAGCTGACACGGACCATGTCACCGGACACGAGCACCCATGTCAGGATCTGTTCCTGGCCTTGCGCATGTTTTTTTGTCCCAACTAAATTGACACGGGTCGTGTCGTGTGACACGGGCACCAGTGTCAGCCCTTGTCCTGCCGAATTGCATGTTTTTTACTCCAGTTAAGTTGACATGGGCCGTGTTGCGTGACACGGGCACCCGTGTCAGCCCCTGTCCTGCCTTTTTGCTAAGTTTTCTCTCTGATTTGTCCTGTTGTATCCTTTTGAAAACGAAAGCAAATGATGTATGAATAAGGATATTACAGTTTTAGAAAATTTACCTCTTGAATTGAAAATTTTAGAACACGTATGGATGTTTTCGGGTGCAAAGTGGTGATTAACTGAGCTCCCTTGGACCTTCTTGAAGTTATGCCAATCCTAACTTTATGCTGCAAGTTACTGAATCACTCCAACCAAGTCAAGTTGTAAGGTACTATTTTTTAGTTTGGAAGATGGTGATAATGACGTTACAGAAGTTGTTCTTCTTCTTGAACAACTTCTATATGATGTATGTGAAGTATTTTGGTGGTTTGTTTGGGCAAAACTTGCAAGGTTTGAGAGATTCAAAGATTTGGACTTCAAAGCTCAAAAATGGAGGTCTTGTGGATAATTCTGGTTTTTTTGAGAGTAAAGGGATTTTGAGGGCTTGTTCATTCTCCCTTCTATCTTGCAAATAATCTCTCTATTTATAGGCAAGAGGTTTGGTAGGTTGAAGTAATCAGATTTGCAAGATAGCCTTTATGGTTTGGTTGAAAGTGAAGAACCAAGTTGGATGAATTTTCATAGTTTCAATGCTTCAAGTAAAAACATGTTCTGAAGTTGTTGGGTGCAGAGGGTTTTTTCCATGATTTTGAGCTTTCTTGTAATCAAATATAACCATTGCAAAGCTCAATGCATTGACATTTTGCAAAAGCATGCTTTTCAAAAATGGAAGTGTTAACTTTGTGCCATTAATGGAATTATGCTTTGGACAATGCTTAAATCAAATGGACCATAGCTCAAAAGTTTTTGTAAACATTAAATTATGGTGAGATTTTCAAGTTATAAGGCTTGCAAAGCAAGATTATGCAGCATATCATGTAGATTGGGTTATGTCTTCTTCATCAAAATGACTTGTAATTCAAGAATGAATGCCCAACTTCATGCCTTTGAATATCCTAGCTCAAGTGTGATAAATTCATGCTCTTGGATATTTTGGAAAGCTTGAAACATTGTCTACAACTTTCATGTTGACCACTTTGTCTAAATCAAATTAGAACATGATGAAAATTGGCTAAGAAGTTGGGACAAAAATCTGACCAAACTTGTTGAAAATTTCTTGAAGTGTTTATACAAAAATGTCATGACTTCATGAGCCTATATCTTCAAATCTAAGTATTTTTTGGACATCAACACTCTAATACAAATTTTTAGAATTCATCAAGATCTATAACTTTCTTGTTGAAAGTTTTCTTTGAATCATCATGCATCTTGGTGAAAAAAATGTCATGAAGTAATGAAATTATCAAGTGTAAAAACACTTAGAGAATTTCTAAGTATTGTAAACTTTGACTTTTTGTGGACTTTCTTGACCTTCTTGATTCTTGATGATCAAGTTTGATATTTTTGAATGTCTTGATGAATTTTGATCTTTGAAATTCAATATTGATCAAAAAGTCAAAGTTTGACTTTTTGTGTATCAGTTGTCTTTTCATTAGTTGATCCAAAATTCAACTATCAATCCACTGATATTGAGAAATGATTTAAGCCATGAAATTAGGTCAACATGTTGTGTTTGAATCTTTGAGATTATGTTTCAAACCATTAGATTATGTATTAGTTCAAAAGTTAATGATCAGTCAACTTTAGTCAAAACCCTAATTTGTGGTCTCAGTGCTTAGGAGGTGGGCTTGTCTGATCAAACCCTTGAGAACCCTTAAGCATTTGAGATCTTTTGTGATAAAGGTCTTGAGAAAAGAGAGGGAAAATTTTGGGAACAACAACCATGGAATGGATAAGACATCTCTTACTTATTTGTTTATAATGATCCTTTTTAGTTGTTGGTTTTAGGATTATGAATTTGTTTAGTAAGTTATGTAGTTGATGGTTTTATGATTATAAATTAGTTTAGTAATTTTATGATGATTTGAACAACCTCCTGCTGTATACCACTATGGTCATGAGTCTCAAACTAGTTGTAGAGTGGTTCGTCATGACAATAAGAGAAATTTGAATAGGAAATACTCAAGGATTTCCTTGTTTTGGATTTGGGGATGGTATCTCTCATGAAGTTCTCTCACCTTAGAAATTGAATTGTTTTTTATTTTTTATTTAAAATGTGTTACTAAGCAGTAATGCGATATCTTTGCAGCATCAACACATCACCAAAATGTCTTCATTTTCTATCCAGACGAAAGACTTTGCAATGGATTTGAAGAACTTTTGAGTCTGTATAGAGAAATTATTTCTAATATTCGAATTGTAGGTTATATATCTACTACTTATCTTTTTGTTCTTGTGGATATTCTACTTATTCATGTTATAGATATTGTTATGTTGAGCTCATCATACTGATGTCTTAACATCAGGCCTTACATCTTTTGCACCCATTGTTTAAATGGAAATTGTTGACCAGAATGGAGACCAATGACCTGTTTTTATCCTGTATGTATGGGATTATGAGGTTATCTTTGAACAAATAAAAAAGACTATATAACTTATTGCATCATATAAGCTGCATAATATATTATCTTTGGACAATTGTAATATATATAAATACTATTGAATAGTTATCATGTGAATGAATGTAATATGTTGATTGAGTTGTGATCAGTTTGTTGCAACAATATTATAAGACCCGAATTTATAATGTTTGTAAGTCATTTGTAATGTTTGAAGGTTCAAATTTATTTGTTGGACGTAAAAAGTGTAAAATTAGACTATCTGTTATATTTAAAAGTCCAAAATTTGTATTTAATATTTTATTTTAAAAAAATTAGAACGTAGTTAAATTTTTTTATGACAAAGTTACCAATGTATTTTAATTGATAAACTGATTAAATCAAACTCAATAGAATCGATTAAAAATTCAATCAAAATTGGACCTAACAATTACATCCATGACTTCGATCGATTTGATATATTCGGATTGAGTTCCACCCAAATCGACCGAATGTCCATCCCTAGAATTTGTCTATAAAAGTAATCAATCATAGAGTCGAATACCGAATCAATAAAATAAAATAATTAATACACTTCCACTATCTATCCATTAAAAGAACATGCATACAAACTACCAATAATATCCTTCACTTTAAATTTTAAATTTTGTAACACTTGCAAAAAGTTAAAATAGTAAAGACATAATATCTCAATTAATTCACTTTACTTCAACCAAATGCTACCAAGTATCAAATTCATATTTGATACTTTTTCAACAATCACATATTTCTCTACTTCTCACTCTTTCACTCACCATCTCATTCTACTTTCTCTTTTCATTTTATAATTTTATCTTTTCTATCTAATTATTTTATCTCCTCCTAATTATTTTTAATATATTAAAAAGTTTAATTATAGCATATATTTATCATATTAAATATTTATTTGTGTATGAATGTATATAATATTGATATTTAATTTTATTTTTTCGATAAATTTAATTAATTTTATTTATTTATTTATTATTAAAAATATTAATTAATTATTTTTTACATTTTAATAAAATTACAATTTTTTTTATAAAATTGAATAATATTTAATAGCTATAATTTTCTATCTAATAGATCACTATAAAAAAATATCTATTATATTTTTAATAATTTTTATTATTTTAGATACTAAAATCTTATTTTCAAATGTTAAAATTTTTCTTTTTTCAAAGATCACTATCAGTAAAAAATATTTATTTTATTTTAATTAACAATTATCTTTATTTGAAACTCAAAATTCTAATTTTAAAATGTTAAAAAAAATTTCTTACAAATCACTATCAACAAAATATCTATTTTATTTGAAATAAATTTTTTTTATTTTTCTATGTCAAAATTTATCCACACCGAAATATCTATTTTATTTTAATTAACAATTGTCTTTATTTAAAACACAAAATTTTTATTTTTAGATGTTAAAATTTCTTTTTTTTTTTTCTCAAAATACTATCGGTAAAATACAATTTTATTTTAATTAACAATTAAACATAAAATTTATATTTTCAAATGTTAAAATTTGTATTGTTTCTCCTTTTTCCATTTCACAAGCTTTTTTTTCTTGTTGTATGATTATTCAATTGACAAAAATGAAAATATGAGTATTAGTAAACAAGCACATGGCACATATAAAAACCTTTGATTCTGATACCGACCTTTCATTCTGTGCGGTGCTTTCTCTTCCAGTTCTTCCCTCATCATCATCATTGTCTCAAACTTTCAATCACTTTTCCCATAAAGAAGAAAAACAAACAAACCTCATCAATGACGAAGCTAAAGGGAGGAACAAGACCACCATGGGTAGGACTTGGAGCTGCAGTATGGGTGCAAATAGCAGTTGGAAATGCTTACACATTCCCACTCTATTCACCTTCCTTCAAATCAGTTCTTGCTTTCAATCAAACACAAGTTTCTCTTCTTGGTGTTGCCAATGATATTGGTGAGAATGTTGGTCTTCTTCCTGGTATTGTTTGCAACAAGTTCCCTCCTTGGCTCATGCTTTTCATAGGTGGTCTCTTCTCTTTCCTTGGTTTTGGTCTTCTATGGCTTTCTATCTCCCTAACACTTCCCTCACTTCCTTATCCTCTGGTAAACAACTTCATCTTCTTCTTCTTTCGGTTTATTTACTCTTTTTTTATTTTCTAATAAAATCTTGATCTGAGAAAAACAAAATCTGAACTTACACACAACATGATCTAAGGTTTGAATCATAGTATGTATCAAATTTGAGATTCCCTTTTTGTTTTTTATTCCTTGACCCATGTTTTTTTATTTCTTGGAATTTTTATATTCATTCATTTAATAATTGAAATTAAATAATAATTAAAGGAGTTTTTTTTTTTTGTGTGTGTGCACATATTTATATAATTTTACCATATTTGCAGCTATGGTTTGCACTTGTTATTGCTACCAACAGTTGTGCATGGTTAAGCACTGCTCTTCTTGTGACAAACATGAGAAATTTTCCTGCAAGTAGAGGCACAGTTGCAGGTATAATAAAAGGTTATGGAGGGATCAGTGCTGCGGTTTTCACCGAAATCTTCAGGACACTTCTTCATAATTCTTCTTCTAATTTCCTCTTGTTCCTCGCTGTTGGAATTCCTGTTTTGTGCTTTACTGTAATGTTTCTCGTTCGTCCTTGTACTCCGGTTTCCGGTGAGAGTACTTCAGAAAAATGGCATTTTCTTTTCATCCAAGGTTCTAGTGTGGCCTTAGGTGTGTATTTGCTTGTAACTACATCGCTTGATTATATTCTCCATATAAATTCTACCGTGTCTTATATTTTGGTGGCTGTGATGATTCTTCTTCTCACGGCTCCGCTTGCTATTCCTATAAAAATGACACTCTTTCCTCAAAAACTCACTCAATCAGAAGAAAATGAGTTAGGTGAAAGCAATGGAGAAGAAAACACGAAACCCCTTTTGCACGAGTCTTCGTCGAGTGCTGCTCTCGGTAGTTTCAATGATGCTGATGGTTCATCTGAAATTGATATGCTTCTTGCTGAGGGTGAAGGAGCTGTAGTACCTTCGAAAAAGAGAAGGCCGAGAAGAGGGGAAGATTTTACGTTTTTGGAGGCACTGGTTAAGGCTGATTTCTGGCTTTTATTTTCTGTTTACTTCGCTGGCGTTGGAACTGGTGTTACTGTTATTAATAATCTGGCTCAAATAGGCGCCGCTCAAGGTGTGGAAGATATCACTATCTTACTCTCGGTTTTCAGTTTTTTCAATTTTGTCGGACGGCTTGGTGGAGGAGTTGTTTCTGAACATTTTGTCAGGTAACTTTAACACTTACTATCAAAATGTCGTATCAGATAAAATTTGAATAGGTCTGTAATGGTTTATATTAACTTGATGTTATTCTTTTGATCGTGTCATAATCCTTGATATTGCAAACGGTATTGCAGTCAAATGCAAGTGATGCAACCTCGATTTGAACCGGGGTTGTTGTTCTAACAAAATTGATGTGTAACCGTGCTGTGTTGACCATTTGCAGGACGAGAACGATCCCACGGACGGTTTGGATGACATGCACACAGATAGTTATGATAATCTTGTATCTTCTATTTGCACACGCCATCAAAGGAACACTTTATCCAGCAGTTGGATTTCTCGGAATCTGCTATGGCGTACAATTTTCAATACTGATTCCAACAGTTTCAGAGCTTTTCGGTTTGAAGCACTTTGGCTTATTTTTCAACTTCATGTCATTAGGTAATCCACTTGGCGCATTACTTTTCTCGGCGCTTTTAGCCGGGCGCATATACGACAGTGAATTGGCGAAGCAACAAGCGCTTGGTCTTGTTGCTTCAAGCGTTTCATGTGTTGGTCCAGATTGTTTTAAGATTACGTTTCTGGTACTTGCTGCTGTGTGTGTTGCTGGTGCAATCTCCAGCATTATCTTGACCATAAGAATTAAGCCGGTTTACCAAATGCTTTACTCCGGTGGCTCTTTCAGGCTGCCTCAAATGACATGCCAATGAATGATCACTCCTTAGTTCATAGTCATGATAGGTTTGTTGCAAAATAAATTCTCTGCAGTCAATTTGGTGCAGTCTGCTGCAAACCGTTAGATTAAGAAAATAATCATTTCTCTCTGAATCTAACGGTTTGCGACTTGTTGTAGATGATTCGAGTCCGGTTTATTGTGGTCGTGTTTCTTGATGTGCTATTATTCTAATGGATATATATGGCTGATCATCATCAATGTAGCTATTAGACACTAAGTTTTGGCTTCGACACACTTATCTGATATGTAATTTGAATGTAGAATGGAAAGGAATTCAATCTATTACATACTTGGAATGATCAAATATTTCCATATGTGCTATAATTACTGAGCTTCTTATATTGTATTAGATTCTGTTTATCAAATCGAAATCGAATCTACTACCGCCGGTACTATGGTGCTCACAATCAAGTTTTAAATAACTATCGGGTGCGTAAAAGTTTTTGCGATTTTGGTTGGTATAAGTGTTAGGATACTGTTGTGATGTGAATTAATAGAATTTCTTTTTATTTATAAGAACAGTAAATAGCAGTATTGATTTAGCATCTTCCATTATTTTTGATAAAATGTTTTTTTATAGAGAATAATAAAAAATATTTATCAATAATATATTTTAATTTTAAAAATATTATAATATTGTATATTGAATTTGAAGTGTTTACTTAAACCTCAAAAACACTTTTTTAATACAATTTCTCAAATTCTTCCAAAATGAGAAATTCAAAAATTATAATTAACAAGTATTTTGAGGGTTCTATGACACCCTTCAACTTCAAGTTGTTGAATGATAAAATTTACTTTATTTTTGCTTAAGGTCAGGAGCTCGACTCCTGATTCCACCATTTTGTATTTATTTTCAAAGAACGTTATTACTATAACCAACACATCATTTAATCATATATGTTAATTTTTTTAAAACCATTCTCTATGTATAATTTATTTTTTGACACCCCTAAAAATTTTATTCAAAATCTGCCACTGTCTATTAGTATAAAAATAGAACAAAAGGATATATAGGGTTAAGTGAACATTTGGGGGTTTAAAAGAAAACAGAAATGTTAGAACATTTAAAGGGTTTAAGAGTTGAAAACAAATATTATAACTTAAGTCAACCATTTCCTTTTTTTTAAAATATTTTTTATATTTGATATTGCAATAGACCAATTCAATAGTTTTACATATACTGATCTAACACAAAAATTATTAATATCCAACAAGATTTAAACTTAAGACTTTTAAACTTAAGACTTTGTGCGAATTACAGTCTCAAGTTCACCATTATATCAACTATAAAAATTTAATTGAACACTTGTTGGAACAAGTGTTGAAACAAAATGTTAAGACAACATGGTTTAAAAGAAAACACATATAAATATATACTATTATTTAATTTACAAAATTACCCTTAAAATGAACAATGTGGGATTTAGTCACTTCAAACAAAATTTCCACTTATCATTAAACCATGAATCACATGCAACACAAAATAATGTATAAACAAAGTAATTAGAAAACTTTTCAACCACAATAAATTTCACATTAACTATTACTTTACTATCATAAACTACTTACTAAAAGAAGAGAAAAAAAAGGTGTTTTCTTCACTCACCATAGAATCACACAAGAAAAAGGAAAAGAAAATAGTAAAAAGAATCAAGTAGGGTTAAGATCAAAGAGTGTGGGCCAAAGTTTATGCTCATCATCCAAATCAAACTCATCACCTTTGGGCTTATTATATGGACTACAATAACCCATTGGGCTATCTGTTTCAACAGAAGCCCTAGTAATTGTTGGACTTCTATTAATCTCAAGCAACATTTTTGCATCAAAAGGCCCAGACACTCTTGGGCTTTTAACAGTTCCTGTAAATCTTCCATCAACGGGCCTAGTTCTCAATGGGCTTCTATTTGTATAAACCATTCTCTCTTGCATCATTCTTCCATCAATAGGCCCAGATAACTTCAATGCTTTATTGTTCACAAATTTTCTCTCATTCATCATTCTTCCATCTAATGGCCCTGAATATGGCATTGTTCTGCTTCTACACATTGAAACAGGCTTCTGATTCTCTCCTTTCCACTTTTGATGCCAATTCGGTTCGTGTAAAACCGTATTTGTGTTTTTCTTGACATCGTTGTCGTCGCGAGAAACAAACTTGCTCATGCATTTTTTGAGACACTTTTTGATGACACTTGAGAGATTCTTAGGTTGTTGTTGTAGTGAGTGTAGATGATGTTGGTCTTTTTTGACAAGTTTGAGAATCTCTAATCTATGTTTGGCGATTGAGATTCCCATGCTTTGTAGAAACTCATGGTTGAAATAAGATGCATCTTGTAATTGAAGCTCGTTGCGTGCAAAGATGAGGCCATAGTCATAGATGAGTGAAGGGTCAAGAGTGGTTTTTGATAACCATGAAAACCAATCCATGGATTATGGTGATGAGGTTAAGGTTAAGTTTAGATATGAGGAATGTGATTCTTATAAGGTGGATAGATAAGGAGGTGTGGATAAATGTGGTGGGGTATATGGCTATTTATTTTTTGTTAATTTTTAGCTAATTAATGGATAGCTAGTTATCTAGTTGTTTTTGTATTTCTGAAGAAATTTGGTTGGTAGTTGAGATTGAGAAGGACAACGGCCAATAGTTTGTTGTGGAAAGTTTGGGCTATCATTGATGCTAGCTATATGTTGTGTCAATTCTTTTAAAAAAAAATTGTTAAATTTGGTTGTGTGAGAAATCTAGGACTAAAGTAATAAATATGATTATACACTTTAAACTCTAAGATTAAGATAATTTTTTTGACACACTAAGATTAAAATAATTGAAAAGCTATGTATTTATTAAAGGGATATAGATACATTGGCTCGAACTTCTTTACCAATATTACGTGTTTTAATATTTGTATTTTTTTAATTTGTACTTTTTTAAATTAGGCTGATTTTTTTTTTAATTTCCAAATACACGAGAATTTGCAATCAATTTACAATGATAATATTTGAAGGAGAAAACTCAGTAGTAGGTATAATTATTAGTATTTTTTAATAAAAATATAATAAGTATATATATATATATATATATATATATATATATATATATATATATATATATATATATATATATATATATATATATATATATATATATATATATATATATATATATATATATATATATATATATATATATATATATATATATATATATATATATATATATATATATATATATATATATATTAGATTTGATTTGATTTGATTTAATATTTAATATAATCTAAGTTGTGTTAGTCCAAGTCCAATTAGGGTTTTATATAAATAGTCATAGTGTGTATCATTATTTGTACACTTGAATAATACAAATCTTTATTTTCTTTATTATTCTGTCTTTCTCTCCTCACTAAAAGTGTCTCACGCACTAACAAATTGGTATCAGAGCTTCCGATTATTGTTCTTGATCAAGTTTTCAAGAATTTCACGTCAAAGATCGTTTTTCTAGGGCAAGTAAATCAACCGCTGCGAAGATGGCTAGTGATAAGGGCATTTCAAATTTTCTTCCAATGTTTGACGGTAAAAATTAGATCTGATGGAAAAGAACAGATGCAGTCCTTATTTGGCTTCCATGAAACTCTAGAAGTGATTACCGACGATGTTCCGGCATTGGCTACAAATGCAACCGACGAACAGAAAAAAGCCCACAACGAAGTCAAGAAAAAAGATTGCAAGGCTGCTTATTGCATTCAAACGGCTGTCGATGCTGTTAACTTCGACATAATCTCTCATGCTGAAACAGCAAATGAGACATGGGATATTCTGGTAAAGTATTTCGAAGGAGGTGAGAAAGTCATGGTTGTCAAATTACAAATCTTGCATCACAATATGAGTTGTTGTCAATGGGAGAAGATGAAAAAGTTGCAGAATATGTGTCGAAGGTTCAGAAACTCGTCCATCTCATGAAGGGTTGTGGTGAAACCATTACTGATAATATGATAGTTGAGAAGGTAATGAGAACGTTGACCTCTCACTTTGATCACGTTATCGTAGCTATTAAAGAATCCAACAATCTTGAAACCACTAAAGTGGAAGATTTGGTTGGTTCGTTGGAGGCGCATGAGATGAGGATTGTCGAAAGGAAAGGAGTTCAGGACTCGATACATGCACTGCAAGCTCAATCATGGAAAAAAGATGGTGGTTCTAACAAATTCAAAGACAAGTTCGATAAGACTCGTGGCAAGAAGTCTTGGTCGAATTCCCATAAGAATAAGGTCGAAGATAGATCTTCTGAATCCTCGAAAAAGGGAGGAGGAAACTATCGAAAGGACAAAGAAGATAAGAAAGATATGCAGTGTTATAACTGTGAAAAGTGGGGACACTTGGCCAAGAATTGTTAGTACAGAAAAGACAAGTCATCGAAAGGCAAGGACGAATGAGCGAACCTTGCACGCCAAGATTCAGATGATTCTCAAGGTGGTAGCATGGTTATGGTTGCAGTTGCAGATAACCATGTTGAATCTAATATCTGGTTTCTCGACTCAGGTTGCTCGAACCACATGACTGGTCGAAAGGAGTGGTTGGCAGATTTTGACGAGTCGAAGAAGAGCAAGGTAAAACTTGTTGATAATAGTTCGTTGCAAACAGAAGGTACTTGCAACATAGTCTTTCAAATGAGTAATGGAGGGAAAGCTATGATCAAAGATGTGCTCTATGTACCTGGAATGAAATGCAACTTGTTAAGTGTTGGACAACTAGTTGAAAAAGGTTTCTCAGTTGTCATGAAAGATGGAGTTTTGAAATTGTTCAGCACTAAGAACAATTTGGTTTTAAAATCTCAATTGTCGAAGAACAGGACATTTAAGACTATGATTAGTTCGACAAAAGTTCAATGTTTGAAAACTGTTGTCGGCCACCAGGATAGTTGGTTGTGGCATTTGAGGTTTGGACATTTGAATTTTTGATCACTTAATCAACTGATTACTC